TGGTGGTGATGTGGTGGATGATCTGCTCCTTAAAGTCCTGCCATGAGAAGGGAGATTGTCAGCCTTTGACCTGGCAGCATCTGTTCCTGCATGCTGCGTCCTCACTAGGTCATGTCAAACACCTCCACAAAGCATCAGTGCTCCCACTGTACTGCAGCTCTGAGCAGTCTCCACTGCAGAACGAGGTGAAGGCAAGGTTGGGTGCTGGGTACGGGAGGTCACCTCATCCCATGCTGCAAAAGTCACACATGCATTTACAGGACCCTCATCAGAGCAGCCCAGGCCTCTCCCATCAGCAGACACGGCCCTCTAGTGCAGGCAGCCCCTGAGAGCAGAGCTGGGAAGGGCTGTGGTGCCACATCCACACAGTGTCTGTCCTCTGGCCAGGCGTGGGGACCCCTCGTGTCAGTCCCCAGCCCCTCCCAGCCAAAGAGGCAGAGAGGCCACACCATGCACGAGCAGGGCCCAGTGCAGTGGTGGGATCCGAGTGCTGGAGGGGCTCACGTGCTCAAGGGTGTTCCCAGCAGCACATGTGCCTTCTCCTTTGCAGCCCTGGGGAGCTGACAGCAGGAGGGGACAGACTGCTGGTTGTGGCTGTGCTGCTGTCACTCACCTTCCTCTTCACATCGAAGGGCAGGGTGGCCACGAGTGAGCAGTAGAAGGAGAGCTCCAGGAGGTAGAACCAGCCCAGTGCAGGTGGGAGAGGCTGCAAGATAAGCAACTGGCAGCATGATGGCCCTGCCTAGCCCCGGGGGACAGGAGAGGAGAAGGGTCTTCTGGACAAAGCCCCTTCATTCAATCTGCATTTGGGACAGCAGGGCTTGGTCATGCCTAAATTTTCCTGTTCCCAATGACTGAACTGTTTGCTGATGCACTGACAGGCAGATCCAAAACCAGGACCAGCCTGGCCAGCCTGCAAAGGGACTGACAGCATCTGGGGTCTCCCCTCTTCAGGGGGTCAGACACCTCATCTCCAGCCCTGCTTTGAGACATCAGATGTCCTGACCACACACAGAGCCACTTCCAGCCAGGTTTGGGTGACAAAGAAACTCATGGGAAGTGGTGTCTGCTCAGGGCAGAGCTCCCCATGCTCATATGGAGCATCTATGAGGAGCTTGTCAAGCAGATGGAGCCAAGCTGTCCTGGTGTGTGATGTGAGGGTGAGTGATGGGAGGGATGTTGAAAGAGAACAGGTGGATATAAGGAGTTATAAGGATAAAGCTTTTCACCATGAGGCTGGGCTGTCTTCATGTTTGAATGTTTTCAAAACTCAGCTGGAGCAAACCCAGGGTAACCTGGTGTGATCCCACAGCTGAGAGCTGCGAGCTGCGAGCAGGAGGTTGGGCAAGAAACCTCTTTATCCCCCTTCCAGTATGAATTAGCCTGTGATTCCATGTACTTGCTGCTCACCTGTTGTGGAAATTTCAACCAGCACACGGTATGGTCCCAAAACCAGGGCTTCTGTTCAGAGAGAAGGCAGCAGTAAGAAACCATAGCCTTTTAATGGCATGATGAGCACGGGAAGAAATACTGCAAGAACTCGTGGACCCATGCTAGATCCAGTCTGGCTTTGAGCTTTGGAGAAAGTGGTTGGCAAAATGCATTTGTCGTTAGTGAATGCACAGGGTGTCACACAAAGGGTCTTGATAAAGAGTGGGCAGCAGGCAGAGCCGGGGCAGGGTCTGCTCTTGTCTGAGATGCAGGAGCTGTGTGGGGGAATCTGTGGTGAAGCACTTGCACAAGGATCTGAGACAAGGAGAGCATGATAACACCACTGACATCACTGACACCCAGCCAGGCCCAGCAAGGGAAAGGGGAAGTGTTTTATCCTGCATCAGGATTAGGGATCGTTCTGCTCCATACCCCTGAATTTGTCCTTCTTTGTCTCTGGCCACGTAGTGATGGCCACACATCGTCTTGGGGTGGGACCATTAGCATCATTAGCAATCAACAAGGTACCCTTGCAAGGTGTCACTTCACACCTGCTCACATACTTACATCATACAGAAGAGCCAGTGCAGAGAAGAATGAGGTAAAATAGAATGTGAATCTCCAGCTAAAACACAAAACAAGGAATTAAGTCCTCCTCCAGAGTTGGAATAGCTGTCCAGGCTGTGCCCAGGATGCCCACAGGGGAACCTATGCTTGTTTGGACAGGAATTTGCAGAATCTCAGCTCCATTGGCACAGCAAGCATGTGTTGTAAGGCAACAAGGTACCCACAGCCCACCCAGGCTCTGCTGTGCCCTCACTGTGCCCAGATTCCCTGTGCACTCCACCAGTTAAAGAGGATGCAGCAAGACTACCAAGCTGCCTCTCCCTGTCACCTTCTGTTGTGTGGGTGTTTGTAGATCACCTATGCTTATACACCCCAGCCTGTGGAAGGCACCTAATTTTTCCCAGTGATGGCACAGGAGTACTGAGGTTTTATCACTTTCCTCAGAAATGCTGCATATGGAGCACTGAACAAGCTCTCAGGGGGAGAATATTTTTGAAAAAAGCAAAGTAACAGGATTCAAGCACTGAATAATTTATTTTTCAGAAGGGGAATGAGAGCAGATCTCTTACTTGATGGGGGTCTTTGTGTTCATACATCATTAAACCTCAAGGTGAGAACCAGAGATAACCTGATTCTTTTGATCAAGAGACTTAGTGACTCCTCTCTCCATCCTGACTCCATGTGCTGCTGAGATAAGCAGGAAGATTTCATATAGGAGAACAAACAGGTTGAGGAAAAGGAATGAAGATTTTGGTGCTTTCTGGTGGTTTTCAGGTTTTGCCTCCCTCTGTTCATGGCTTGCACTGCCTACTAACTGCACTTCATGGATTTATTTTATGCCCATGCTGACAATATCTCAAAATGCTAATTTTGTATCAAGATCATCTTGAAAAGAAGTGAATGCATTTTGAAAATGGCTAGAGTGCTCAAAATCCCTCCAGCACCTGAGATTTAAACCTGTTCTCCATCAAGGCCACTAGACTCTGTTGAGGGAACTTTCACTTTTAAAGGTAAAGGAAGGGAAGGGAGGGAAGGAAGGAAGGGACAGAGAGGGAGGGAGGACGAAGCTGGCAGTGCTGCAGGGAGGGGACAAGGCTCTGCTGGCAGCAGGTTCCCCTGGAAGCCTCCACTGACCCACCTACCTGACCTCACAGAACTTCTTGCTCAGCCTGGGGTGGTCCTGGGCCCGCCGGTGCCGGAACCAGGTCTGCACCTCTTTGATGGGCAGGTCACTTTGCTTGGCCAGTGAAATCAGGTCCTCCTGGAAAACAGAGCAGGGAGGCAGGACTGAGCCTTCTGGAGGCTGCTGGTCCCTGTGGGAGGGGAAGAGCTGTGCTCCCACAGGCTGCCCATCTGCCTTTCCCCAAAGAACACCTTTCTTTGGAAAAAAAATCCTATCAATTCTATTTGCATTTGTGAACTCCCAGATGATTTGTGGCCATTTTTAAACCCCAATTTCAGACATGTCCAAATGCAGGTTCAGAAATAAGCACAGCCTCTCCTTGGTTAAATTTTAGCAGCTGTACTCAATGGGATGCAATGTCTGGGTATAAAAGTCTAAATACGTTTTTCTCCACTTCTGATACAATTTTGACTTATGATTATCAGCTACAGATAACAAACCTGAAGATAAAAAAAGAGTTTTGGCCTGTGATGATAAAGAAACAAGCACATAATTCATTCAGTAATGTCAGCAAAACCATCCAGCTGTTGGAGTGGCTGCACAGTCACAGGCTCAAAGACATCACTTTCAGCATCCTTATTTTCTACATGAATTCCAAATAACACTACGTAGACTTAAGATTTATAAATTGTGATTAAAATGAATGTAAATATGAGCTCATGAGCATTTTTAATTATTCTGACAAAGTTTCATAAAGGTTTAAGTCAAAAATTGTTTTTAAAATCCATGTGTCAGTGTGAGTCAGGATCCAGGCCCAGAGTGGTGGTGAGTGGAGCTAAATCCAGCTGGGGGCTGGTGACCAGTGGTGTTCCCCAGGGCTCAGTTTTGGGGCCAACCCTGTTTAATATCTTCATAGATGGTCTGGAAGAGGAGATCGAGGGCACCCTCAGTCAGTCCACAGATGACACCGAGCTGGATGGGAGTGTTCATTTGCTGGAGGGCAGGAAGGCTCCAGAGAGGCAACTGGACAGGCTGGATCGATGGGCCAAGGCCAGTGGTGTGAGAGTCAACAAGGCAAAGCGCTGGGTCTTACCCTGGGGTCACAAGAATGCTCTAGGTTTGGGGCAGAGTGGCTGGAAATCTGCCTGGTGGAGAAGGGCCTGGGGGGTGCTGGTCAATGGTGGCTGAACATGAGCCCAGGTGTGCCCAGGTGGCCAAGAAGGCCACTGGCACCCAGCCTGTGCCAGCAATGGTGTGTCCAGCGGGACTGGAGGGATTGAAAAGATGTGGAGATGTAGTACTTGGGGACATGGTTTAGAGGTGGCCTTGGCAGTGCTGGGTTAATGGTTCAACTTGAAGATCTCAGCTTTTCGAACCTAAATGATTCTGTGATTCTTGAGCCTTAATAGACTGTACCCAAAGGGGTGATGGCTCCCTTCTTGCCAGAGCCAGCAGCTCTCACAGCACCTGTGTTTGACACACAGCAGGTCAGGACGTGCTGGGATTGCAGCAGTTGGACACATGGGAAGGTGCTGGAATATCTGCTTTTATATCTCCTTCCCAGGAAGGGTGGTGAGCAGTAACTATCTTGCCTGTGAGGCAGGTTTGGCTGGCCTGGGGTACCTGGACAGAAAGGGGGTGTTGCTTGCCTGGGCTCTGGGGACAGTGGGACACTGGGGCCACTCACCTCCTTTGGGGTTCTGCCCAGCAGAATGTAGAAGCTTTCCAGCGTGGCGTTGGTCTGGACTTTGGGCCTCCGCTTGTCCCTCACACCCAACCCCCTGCCCAAGGGCAGAGCCACAGTTCTGCAAGAGGAGAGTTCAGGCAGAAAAGCACCTGTGTGCCCACACTGGGAGCCAGGGTCAGCCAGCAGCAAGGTGCTGCTGTTCTGTGCATGGATGAACTGCCCCAGGGGCCAGCACTGCCCCAGAGCTCACACAACCAGCTCTGCACTCACAGCCCTGGGGACCCAGCACTGCCCCAGAGCACATGCACAGCCCAGTGCCTGTGTCAGATCAGTGCTCCTTCAGACAGACACAGTGGCACCAAAACAAAGGTGAGGGGTGCTGGCTGTGCAGTGGAGACAACAGTGACCACTGCTAAGTAAGCAGTAACTCATTCTGCTGAGGTCCCCAGACACAGAGCATGTCTCTCTTGGTGTGCATGCTGGTCCCCTTTACAGCATTCCTGAGCAGTCCAGGCTGCCACAAAACCAGTCTGCAAGTGCCCCTGAGCGTCCCATGTGCTCTGTGCCCAGGGTACCTGTCCACTGCCTGCAGGAGCCAAGGACACAACATGTGGGGATATGCTGGTTCCTGCAGGAAAGATCTACTGGGAGGCATTGCTTTCTAAATCATGTTGTTTCTAGGAAGCCAGGCAAGTGCAACAGGCCTTCGCTTCTTTGAAGGAAGACCTGATGACACTGGAATTAATTCTGGCTCTCCCTACAGCTCGTGTCTACCACATCTCTCACACAGCTGCACCCTGCAGGCAGGAGCCAGCGCTCGGGGGAGATTTGCTGAGATAGTTTCCTGGCATGAGCCATGTGGACCTGCCTCATTTCCACACATGAATCCTGGGGAGATGCCAGCTGACCCTCAGGCTCCCCTGGGGTGAAGTGCCCACAGTGAGACACTGGAGTGCATCACCTCTGGTGGAACTGGGGTCCTCTGGTGCTGGGAGGAGGACACAGGGCAGAGCTGGGCAGGGACTGGTGTGAGCAAAGTGGTCCCACAGTGAGTTCTGGGAGCCATGGTCACCCCCTGCTCCAGCCTCTGTGCTGGGGTGGGGGCCTCACACAGCACCCTCTAGGATCAGGCTGAACCCTGGCTCAGCTGGCGGCTCCCAACACCAGTAAATCCCTGTCTGTGTTGCAAGCTTCCACTTGTCTCTCTCCAGAGGGACCCTCCACCCACAGCTCAGGTGTGACTGAGTGATGGACTTGTCTTTTCACATCTGCTCGTACAGGTTATGGCACAGGTACAGGAGAGTGAGGGCAGGCCAAAGGGCTGCCATACAAATACCATCTGCCGTGAAAACACAGATTCAGCGTTCCTGGGGACAAGCCCCTGTACACTTTGTAGTGTAGTGGCTGGGAGGCAGGTAAGGATTATTCTGGAGCAACCCTGCAAGACACTGGACAGTGTCAGGAGAAGCCAGAGGTGCTGCACTCACCTTTCAAAGAGGCACCGGACAAAGATCAACAGCAGAGCACCAGGGATGCAGAGCAGCAGGTCCTGAGGCTGCGGGTAGTGGATGTCTGCAGACTCCTTCAAGTCCTCCCAGGTAGCTCCAGGTGGCAGCCAGAATTCATGGTGCCAGAACCACTCTGACACCCCCATCCTGGTAAAGATGTTGGGCACAGAAAGCAGAGGCTGCCTGCAGCACGCAGGTAGCAGCGAGGCATAAAGCTCACTGCTAAATCAGGATTCCCAGTTCAACAGCTCATCCCCCTCTGTCCCCACCTCCTGCTCAGTTCCATGAGTATGACAGACTAGGGTGAAATAGCATCACTTGTTCTGACCTGCCTGTGAGCTTGGAGGTGGGGTAAGATGTCCTAGTACAAGACAGTAGTTTAGTGGGTGTCGAGGGGGTGGCTGATTTCAATCACGCACTGCTGCATGGATGACTAAAGTCCCCACCTGGTGACAGTGTCAGCAGGGACACCTCTCTTGCCCCCTCTTTCTATCAGGTTTTTCCTTCTAAGCCTACAAGGCCCTCCCCTGTTAATCAGCTCTGACACCTGACAAAGGGTGGGGATGGGGGTCCTGGGGGAGACTGTCCAGAGCCATTGAGATCTTCTGGCACCTTCAAGGCCCCAGCAGTCTCAGTTCTGGTTCCCCCATCTTGCTCAACAACATTCCCTATCCCAGGAGACAAACCAGGCAGCTCCAGTTCTCTACTGGCACAGCCCAGTGTGGCTGTCC